ATGTAGGTGGACAAAAAAAGTGTTCTTCCATCTTGTGGACATGAGCATGCTGAACTGTTTCAACATGTACCTTGTGAGAACTGGACGTAAGCCCACTTTCCGTGACTTTGTATTTGATGCTGCAATACAGTTACTAGGAAAGTTTGCAAAAGATGTCTCAGGGATTCAGCGGCCCATCATAAACCCACTGTTGCAGCATGCTGGTACTCCATGCCTCGCTCACACTGAAGGCTTCCTAGCACACAGACTCTAGTATTTGCCACCAGCTGGGAAGCGTGCAATAGCCCAACGTGATTGCTTGGTGTGTAAAACAACGACACGTAGAGACCAGAAACGGAAGCTTGTCCAAACATGGTGTGAAACGTGTGGTATCCCATTATGTGCTGTCGACTGCTTCAATGACTACCACAGTCTAGAAAATTTCTAAGTGTGCTTCAAAGTGTGTATAGCGTGTGCGAGTGTGTAAATATGTAAACATATAATCAGATAGCGTGTGCGTGTGTGTAAATATATAAAAATATAAGCAGAACATACAATATAATAGATTGTAATGACATATTATATTGCCGTAATTGAAAACATATGTGTGCGCCTGTGTATACTCAAATATGCAACAATTATTGATACAAAATATGTTCAAACATTATTTGAAACACAATTAGTGAAGAAAATTGGATAAAATGTGCCTAGACATTGTAAATAAATAGCGCGAAAATATATTTGTGGCAACTCTGGCTGTTTGAGAACCGCACGCAATGCCTCTGGGGCATGTACTGCATGAGAGAACATGCAGATTGTGACGTCATCGCTGAGCTTTCCGGCTCTATTGCAACAAAAGTAAGTACAATAGAATTTATTTTTTATTTTTCGCGTGATCAGTGATTACAACTTAACAGATTAGCAAAAAAAAAAATATATTTTTTTTTTTTTTCAAAATGACATGCGCCTGTGCGGATGGCAGGATATTAGACCCCGAGCATGTTAAGGGTTAAATGGCGCATGGCTATATACCATTTGACACCCACAGGCGCATAAAAAAAAAAAAAAAAAAAATTCTTCTTAACCTGTTAATTTGTGTTAACTGATCATGGGAAAAATAATAAAAAAATCGTAAGTGGCATATATTGCCCGCTATAGGGCAGGGAAGTCTGGCAAAAAACAGGTGCTGACTCAGTGTGCGTCCCAGGCGGTCTGTTGCTCGCCAGCTGTCAGACCGGAGTTGCCACAAAGAGATAATTACCTAATTATTTCAATGTCTCTGATTGATTTTTCGTAGTTTTTTTTACTGTAATATTATTCAATAGTGTGTAGTGTGATATGTTTATATAATAAAATGAGTGAATCATTGCTGTACTCAAAAATATGGTGTGCATATTGTTGATTCAATTATGTTCATCAAACAGTGAACAAATACTTTGTCAGTTATTACACTATATACACAGGTTATATATAAGTATCTGCATGTTTTGTTCACCATAACGAACCACTTAGTTGCTATTATGACTCAAAAAGTAACGAGGAGTGACCGCCACACTCCAGCCAGCCACCCACTCCCTCCCTCAACACCTCACTCACCCACATTCTCCTCCTACCATACTTTTTTGCTTTTATATACAGACGTTATATATAAGTATTTACATGTTTTGTTCACCATAACTGTACATCTAAGCTTGTATGGTGAGTAAAGGCACAAAGACGTAGCTACTCACACAGTCAGCTGATGGCTACCGACCTCAAGGCCAGACTCACTAATATTTCTCCTCCAACAATACTGTTTGCGGTGTTATTACGCCATATACACACATTATATATAAATATCTACCTGTTTTATTCACCATACTTGTACAAGTAAACTGGTATGGTGCCCAAAGACCATCGTGGTCACCAGTAAACAACATGATAAGTCGTGCAGACAACGCCACCGCCCTCACCAAAATGGCGGCTCCCAACCTACTCCTCTTGCTTTGTATACCCTCTATACACACGTTATATATAAGTATCTACAGTACATTTATGTTCACCATAGCGAACCACTAAGCTGGTATGGTGAGTGCAGTCAATAAAAGGTGACCACACAAAGTCAGAAGACATCGCCACCACCCTCCCTCCCACAGCATTACTCCTCTCTCCATGGAGCACAGCGCTAAATATCACCACAATCCTGCTATTATCAGAACCCTGGTCAGTTTTATCACAGTCAGGGGTCTTCTGTAATAATATCATTGCTACATAATAGCATGAACAAGTATATTATGGCATTTTTAGGCGATGCTGTGGTCACAAGCTGAACAGCAGTGCTGTGAACTCATGCTGCGTGCGTCAGGCTTGGTAGCTCACTCAATACTGAGGCCCCTAATACCCGGGAATTTGGCCCACGATTTTTTAAAAAAATGGCGTCTGTTTACAAGAGCCCTGATGAAGGTAATTACCTAAGTGTAGTTATAGGATGAGAGCTACGCTCGTGGTGTCCCGTCTTCCCAGCACTCTTTGTCATATAACGCTTTGAAACTACTGACGGTCTTGGCCTCCACCACCTTCTCACCTAACTTGTTCCAACCGTCTACCACTCTGTTTGCGAAAGTGAATTTTCTTATATTTCTTCGGCATCTGTGTTTAGCTAGTTTATATCTATGACCTCTTGTTCTTAAAGTTCCAGGTCTCAGGAAACCTTCCCTATCGATATTATCAATTCCTGTTACTATTTTGTATGTAGTGATCATATCACCTCTTTTTCTTCTGTCTTCTAGTTTTGGCATATTTAATGCCTCTAACCTCTCCTCGTAGCTCTTGCCCTTCAGTTCTGGGAGCCACTTAGTAGCATGTCTTTGCACCTTTTCCAGTTTGTTGATGTGCTTCTTAAGATATGGGCACTACACAACCGCTGCATATTCTAGCTTTGGCCTAACAAAAGTTGTGAACAATTTCTTTAGTATATCGCCATCCATGTATTTAAAAGCAATTCTGAAGTTAGAAAGCGTGGCATAGGCTCCTTGCACAATATTCTTTATGTGATCCTCAGGTGATAGTTTTCTATCTAGAACCACCCCTAGATCTCTTTCTTTATCAGAATTCTTTATTCTACTCACACTGTCAGCTGATGGCTACCGACCTCAAGGCCAGACGCACTAATATTTCTCCTCCAACAATACTGTTTGTGGTGTTATTACACTATATACACACATTATATATAAATATCTACCTGTTTTTACACTAATACACGGTGTGGTGAACCCGTGTATCCGTGGGCCATTTAAATCTTGCGTAGTACTCCAAAGCATCATATGATGCGATGCGCAATTTACTGCAAGTTGGTCAAAGCATCATATGATGCGATGCGCAATTTAAGGGTTAAGGTGCATATCTTAAAAGTCATCGTACAGCATGTCAACACCCATGTGTTGACACTCGGGGGGAAAGGGGGTGCTGAGTTGAGAAGGGTTAGCGTGAGGTTGGGGGTGGGGGGGGGGGGAGAGAACTGGAAGGAGACATGTGATCTCTGTCTTTGTTCAGTGTTGTCTTGCCCACCCATCCCCCTGCGTGCCTGAACCCACCTGCAAACCTATCTCTGTCTGCCCACTCACCCACCTGTTCCTGCCTGCCCACTCACCCACCTATCCCTGCCTGCCTGCCCACTCACCCACCTATCCCTGCCTGCCCACTCACCCGCCTATCCCTGCCTAATTATCCCTGCCTGCCCACTTACCCGCCTATCCCTGTCTACCCACCTTTTCCTGCCTGCCTGCCTGCCCACTCACCCACATATCCCTGCCTGCCCACTCACCCACCTATCCCTGCCTGCCCACTCACCCACCTGTCCCTGCCTGCCTGCCCACTCACCCACCTGTCCCTGCCTGCCTGCCCACTCACCCACCTGTCCCTGCCTGCCTGCCCACTCACCCACCTGCCTCTGCCTGCCTGCCCACTCACCCACCTGCCTCTGCCTGCCCGCCCACTCACCTGCCAACCACCAAACCCATTCAGAACCTGCCAGCCCATCTGCCTGCCATCCATCCATCCATGCAGATCCTGCTTGTCCACCAACCCACCTGCTTGCCCACCCACCTGCCAACCACCAAGCCCACCTGCCTGACCATCCAAACCTGCCCAAACCAGCCTGCCCAACCACCTGCCAACCACCTGCCACCACCAAGCACATCTGCCTCCCATCCAGCCCGCCCACTCACCCACCTGTCTGCCCACCCACTTGGCCTGCCCACCCACTTGCCCCTCCCACCTACCAGCCAGGCAGCTAACCACCCACCCAGCCCCACACACTAATTATAGTGTGGCAATTCAAATTGTGTGTAGTACAAACATTTTTGCAGATGTTCATTTTTGTACTTCACGTTGAAACATCCTTTGATCCAAAAAACGGACTCATCTGGCAAGGAGTCCTTCCCATATAGTCCGGATTAGTGAACTTCTACAGTACTTCGGCTCCATTTTGCATGCTGTCTTGTGCCTTTTTTTTCCTCTAGCCTGCTCCTGTGCTGCCTGCATTTGAGTGGTCTTTGGACAGCGTTCTTTCTTTTCTCTCTTCCTCTTGGTTTAGTGTCTCCTTTGGTCCGTGATTATTTTCTCAAATAAATGTTTTTGCTGTCTTGTTTCCAGTTTTAGGGTGGGGAATACTCTCCTCCAGAGGCAGGGGTTTTGTTTGTTTGACCCTGGTGGACAGTTTGCTCATCTGCAATCTGCAACAAGTAAGCCTTTGATACTTTCATTCATGACATTTTTTAGGTTTTCTGTACCTTATTAGGATTGTGTTGTAAGGCTCCTCATTAAAGGCACCATGGGCAAGAAACTGGGTAGCCACTGAGGACTACCACCTGAGAAACATATCATTGTATAATAAAATGTTCTATTTATTAAGTTTAATTACAGTTCAAAATTCTAATAATTTATATAGTGTTACTAAATTTAAAAGGTAGTGACTTTGATCTCCAATAGGCATTTAATGGATAATACCATATAATTGATATGTATTTCTTTGTTACCTACAGAGAGCCTAGAAACGCGTGTCGAACACTACGTCAAGAGACAGAGATTAGAACCAGACATTCTTCAGAAACTTTCTTCGAGCGATTCCAGACAACAAGAACAAAGTTGTAGTAAAGTTAATAAATAAGATAGTAATATGTAACTGAATATATTAAAAATAAAAATAAATCAAAAGAAGGCACCAGTCATGGAATATCATTTGACACTATCATAAAATGTTATAAAATTCCTAAATGTCATTCAGGATGCCAATACAAGAGCAAAGATATAAACGAGCAATGCCAAAGATGTTGGACTGACTAGTGAACAAGTTACTGTACTTGAAGGAATAGTAGAAAAGCAAGACATTCAACGAGGTGCTGCACAGCTCTTCAGATGTAAGTAAGTAATTATCAAAAGAAGGCAACAAGCCGAGAAGGCTATGTAGCACCATCAAATGTGCAGAATAATCATAGGGCACTAAATTTCACTAAGGATGCCACTATGACAATAGAAACGCATAAGGTGAATGATATCAAAAGTATTTGACCAAGAATTCTATCGAGGGACAAGTGACCATGAGGGACGGTCGGAAAGCAAGTCACACTCTCGTCCTGAAAGTCAGGACAGTCAACAAGGATATGCATGACTCTAAGAGGGACAGTGCAGTTAGGACAATAAGGAGCAGGGCGGCACTCCATTATGTGTCCATGAGTTAAGCGTGTATGGCCAATATGCAACCTTGCCAGAGTCATTTCCCACTGCCAGTTTCATTGATAGGAGAAAGGCCACAGGGACACACTACTCTTAAGAGTATGCAGTTTGTCGCCAGTAACAGAAGACCAACAACCCTGCCAATGGGCAAGGATAGAGGATTGAATAACTGGGTAAAAGTCGGAATAAGGAATATCTTTATGGGAGATGGGACAAGTGCGGATAGCTTCCGTAGCGGCAGCGTCCACACGCTCATTTAAAGAGACACCAATATGGCTGGGAACCCAGCAAAACTACATCGTCTTAAATTTACTAGAAATTAGAAACAGCCAATGTTGAATTTCGGCTACCACCGGATGGACTGGATTAAAGGACTCCAGAGCCATGAGGGCATTGCGAGAGTCAACTACAACCACAAAGGAGGATTGACAGTGAGAAAACAGTACACGAAGAGCATAGAGAATAGCAAAAAATTCTGCCGTGAAGATGCTAGTCTCTGGAGACAGGCGACACATATAGGAGCCGGTCGGCCGAGCGGACAGTATGCTGGACTTGTGATCCTGTGGTCCCGGGTTCGATCCTGGGCGCCAGCGAGAAACAATGGGCAGAGTTTCTTTCACCCTATGCCCCTGTTACCTAGCAGTAAAATAGGTACCTGGGTGTTTGTCATCTATCACGGGCCGCGGGGACACTAAAAAAAGCCCCAAAATCATCTCAAGATAGGTATGGTCAGGAAAAACAACAGAGTAGCCTACACCGCCAGCAGACTTAGACCCATCAGCGAAAATGAAAATGGAGCAGGAGTGTGAAGAAAAGTGTTAAAGGAAAAGGCATTTCAGAACTGTAGGAGGGGTAAAAGCATAGGGTATAAAGGAAGATTCACGTGGATCCCTTCACATGTGGGAATACTGTTGAATGAGGTAGTTGATGAGATAGCGAAGAGAGCCACAGAAAAAACTCTTGTTGATGTTGTATTTCAGATAACCTTGAAACAAATAAAGACAAGAATCAAGATGATCCAAGAGGGTGAAGAAATGGTAAAGAGAATGGTAATGGTGGACAGTAGTAACACACTTAAGAATTATTCAGTAATAAATACAAACTCGTCCTTCACCTACGGTAAAGGAAAGTCTACGTGGAAGGATTCAATTTACATGAGATTAAGATTAGGATACAAATATATCTGGCAATATGGTGGTGTCAGTGAAAAAGATAAGGAGTGTAAGTTATGTAGTATGCTGCACGCCCACACCTTAGAACATTATGTATTAGTGTGTTAACTTATTGATAACTATAGAAATAAGGAAATAAGTAGTGTACTATATCAAATTGTTTGGATGTGTGATAAGACAGTATACTTAGGAGCTACAAGAATTTTGCCCCAAGAGTGCAACAATTATATGCTGTGCTTACTATATTAACCTGCAATGTTAAATGGGATTCTTGTAATGTTATTTGTCTATTTGTACTCACTGAATTTGTGCGCTCCTTGAGGGACTTGAAGTAGAGAGGGGTAGAAATAGCCTAAGCTACTCTATCCCTTTGAGATGTATTTCTTTCTTATCTCAATAAACATACTTGAACTTGGGGTAAAAGCTTCAGTGATGTGGGTCAGGGATTTACAAAATTTAGGAAGAGGACCCTTCTTGGGGGCAAGGGTGGGACAACATGAGGAGAAATACTGGTAATACTAACCAAAAGAGAATTTTGCAGGCAAGATAACCAGACAGAAAGAGGGAGGTGGTGAAGGAAAACAGGAACTATAGGAGGGGTAAAAGTCAAAGCACTACACAGGCGAGAGTGAAGGTGTTGTAAGGGCCGCGCAAGGTAGCGAAGACGGAAGCAATCACGGTGGTCCTGGAGAGACAGGAAGCCAGTGTCAGCATACAAGCTGAGGGTAGGAGTCGAACGATAAGCACCAGAGCTGAGGCGCAACTCAATATAGTGCAAAGCATCAAGACGGCAAAGAGAAGAAGGAAAAGCAAACGAGTAAGCAGGGCAACCATAATCGAGTTTAGACAGGACAAGAGGATCTCATGTAAAGAGATGAGCGTACGCATATCTGCTCCCGAAGAAGTATGGGACAAAACCTTAAGTAGTTTAAGAGCCTTAGAGCATTCAACCCGGAGGAAAGAGATATGGGGCGACCAAGACAAACGAGTGACAAAGACTAGCCCCAAAAGCTTATTGGAATCTTTGTACACATGGGGATGACCATAAAGTGACAAAGAGGGACGAAGAACAACTTGCTTTCGAGTAAAAGTCATGGCACAAGTCTTAGTTGCAGAGAACTTGAAGCCATGATTGGTGGCCCAAGACAACACTGCATCAATCACAAGTTGAAGCCATTGAACGAGAGGCAAATCATCACCTCGACAGCAAAGGGTAAGAGCCGAGAAGATGCCAGAAGGAAGGGAGAAAAGAAGATAATTGAGGGCAACCAGAAAAAAGAGTAGTGTTCAAAACACTTCCTAGGGGTACACCTTCGTATTACCGAAAAGAGGCAGAGAGAGTAGCACCAAGCCTCGCTCTAAAGGAACGACAAGAGAGGAAGCTTTGGAAGAAGAGAGGGAGAATACCACGAAGGCCAAAAGAACGAAGTTGGGACAGAATATGGTATCTCCAGGTGGTGTCGTAAGCCTTTTCCAGGTCAAAAAGGACAGCAACAATGGAGGTCTTCGCATCAAAAGAAGTATGAATATAGACCTCCAAGTTCACGAAAACATGAGTTGTGCTGCAGCACTTGCAAAAACCAAATTGAGAAGGGGGGAGGTGGTGATAAGTGTTCCCAAGAACCACATCAGACGAACATTGACCATACGTTCAAAAGAGTTTGCAGACACAATGGCTGAAGTCTTTAGGGGATGTCTCGAGAGACCCTGGTTTCCGAATAGGAAGTACAATAGCATCGAGCCAGTCCTCAGGGACTGATGATGACTCCCAGACCCGGTTATACAGATTCAGTAAAAACTGAGACGCGCATGGAAGGAGATGGCGAAGTATCTCATGATGAATGTTATCTGAACCCGCTGCCGTAGAACTGCAGATGGCCAAGGCAGACTGAAATTCAGAGACAGAAGGGATCGTTATAGGGAACTCGGAGATGAGTGTGGAAATCTAAGGGATGAGATTCAAGAATGTGCTTGTGAAGAAGGAATTAAGGATAAAGGAAGATGAGAACCGGAGCTAACAGCTGAAAAGTGGGAACCCAGTTCGATCACGACCAGCACTGGGTCTGCACAAGAGTACCACGGAGGTGAAGGACTGGCGAGACATCTGGAACGAACTTACCAGCTACCTTGCGGATTTTCTTCCAGATCTGCAGCAGAGGAGTATCGGACATAATGGTGGAAACATAAGATTTCCAACTCTCACATTTAGCTGTACGGATAGTTCTTCGGGCCACCTCACTTGCCTTCCAAAACAAAATAAAAGAATCAGCCGGCGTCGGTGTGTCTTGCAGGCTGCACACTTACAGCGGACAGCCTGAGCACAGTCCGCATTCCACCAGGGAACGCACTTCCGCAAGCCCCGGGAGGTAGAGTGGAGGGCAGCATCAAAAAAAGTGTCATGAAAAAAGAGGAGGGCACGAGGGAGAGGCAGAGCGAAGAGAGGAGCAGGGAGGGTGAATAGGTTCTAGTCAGCCTTGGCAAACTGCCACCTAGGAAAGGAGAGGTGGAGGGTGAAAAGAGAAAAAGGTAACAAGGATTGGGAAATGGTTATTGTTATGGAGATCATCAAGAACCCACCACGTGAAATCTAAGTAAAGAGACAACGAGCAGAGAGAAAGACCAAGACAGGAAAGGGTGCAAGTTCGAGAGTCCACATTAATGGGTTCACCAGAATTCAGAAGACAGGAAGAAGAAGAGAGGATGAACGGTTCGAGAAGGCAACCTCGCGTGTTTGTCAGAACATCACCCCAGAGGATATGTCGACAATTGAAATCTTCCAACAGGAACACAGGCTCTGGCAAGGAGTCCAGGAAGAGTCAAGATCTGGAAGAGAAAGTGGGACATTTGGGGAGAGATAAATGGAACAGACCATATATCATTTACTCACAAAGACACGAGCAGCAGAACACTGGATAGGCGATTGAAAAGTAGGGGGACGAAGGGAATATCAGTACGAATCAATAGAGCAGTACAGTTATGGGCCCAAGCAAAAGCTAGGGAGGGGGAGAGAAAGGAATAACCATAAAAGTGACCAGGACGAGCACTAAGCATCGGCTCCTAAAGACGTACACAAAGTGGTGAAAACTTTGTAATCAGAAGTTGGAGTTCATGGAAGTTGGCATAAAATCCATGAATATTCCATTGAAGAATAGACATTGTCAAAAAGAGAAAGGACAGCAACAGAGAACAATGAAGAAATAAAGGTAAAGAAGAATACAGCATATTAAATAAGCTCAGGATCAGGGTTAGGGGGCATGGGTAAACTGTGTAAGGGTGGAGTGAAGGGAGCCGGAGGACAATCCAGAGGCATACGGACGAGG